AAAAAAAAAAAAAAGATTAAATTGGCTTTGGGATAGATCTCAACAGCAGTCATTAAAAAACCAAAAACCCCTAAACCGTAGTCTGCCGAATACCAACCAATGAAAACGGACTCCTACACTTGCCCCTCCAAGCTCCTCTCTCCCCCTTGGATACACCTGTCTCCAGCCCTTACCCGCTGTCTGGCTAACAAGAAGCTCATTAGGCCACAAGCCCCCTTGGCCAGCCAGGGACGGCACAGCCGGGGGCCCGTGGCAGGCGGCCTTGGCGGGGGCTTCACAACCCACTGGCCCGGGGACCGGGAGCCCGTGAGGCGTCTTCCGCCCCCCGCCGGCCACAGCTGCCCACTGCGCCCTGGCTCCATCCTCCGAGGGCCTCGCTGGGTACTCCGAGGGCACATCTCCAAAGAAGGATCAAGGGGCACGGGGAAGCGGAGAGGGGCACCGGTGAGGCCCTCTCAGCACGAGCAGAGCAGCTGCCCGCACCGCTAGCGGGGGCCGAAGCGCGCCCACAGGGGAACGAGCACACGGAGCCGACTCCGGGTTGACGCATGCGCAGAACCACCAGCCCCCCCCCCACCCCCGGCCTTCGGTCCCACGGACTTTTCTCGTGCCTGCGGTACATCCTCCGGGCCGATAGGGGGCAATCAGCCGGTCTTCACACGGGTTCGGCCCGGCCGGAGTAACCCGGAAGCAGCCTCTAACCCGGAAGAGGTGGTGTTATAGGATTCTGCCGGCGGCGGTGGTGGCGGCTGCGACGCTAGGATGAACGCCCCTCCCGCCTTCGAGTCGTTCTTGCTCTTCGAGGGCGAGAAGAAGTAAGTGGAGGCGGGGCGGGCCGGGGGTCGCGGGCAGTGTCCGGGGCTCCTCCGGCTCGTCCACTGCCGGGAGGACGGAAGCAGCTTTTTACTGGGCGTCCCGTCCGCTTCGCCCTGCGTACGCCAAACTTGAGACTGTCCTGCCGGGCGGTGGTGAATGTCTCCATTCTGCAGAGGAGGAAACTGAGGCTCAGAGAGGCTGAGTAACTGCCCCGGCACACAGGAAGTGGCGGTCTGTATCGGAACTCAGGGTACCTGATGCCAGAGTGCTTTTCCTCTGGGATCCGACAGCCTCCTCATTTCTCTTCCTGGCCGCTGCTTTCATCCTCCTGATGCAGCCAGAGTGATGACTCCTAGGCTCTAGTCCGATCTTCACTCGCCCGTGGGGAACCCTGGGTGACCTCTTGCCTGCAGGGGGAAGGAGAAGGGTGTCTCGTGGTCTCAGACTGGACTTGGCTCCTGGATCCCCCACTTAACGTCTCCATACCTTTGGGCAAGTGACTTAATCTGCTTGAAGCCTCCTCTGGAAAATGGGCTTCTTGCTGTATTCAATCACAGGATTTTCTCTTAGGGGAGCTTAACGAGGTAATTTACGGAAAGCCAATTAAGCATCGGCTTTTCCTTCTCTTAACAGCCTGGCATGCAGGGAGGGCTCTGTGGTCTAGCCCTTACCAGCCACTTAGTCTCCCTTGGGAGCAGGGGTTGTCGACTGGGGCCCATTTTGCCCCCCAGGGGGGCTTTGGCAGTGTCTGCATTTTTCGTTGTCATGAAGGGGGTGCTCCTGGCAGTTAGTGAGTAGGGACCAGGGATACCGGTCGTGTCCTGCGGTGTACAAGACAGCCCCCGACAAAAACGAACTATCCGCCCTTAAATGCCAGTGGTGCCAAGGTGGAGGAACTCTGCTTTAAGAACAAGGAACAGTCCAGAGTAGGTGAGGGTCCCGGCAGAATCAGGGCGTAGCCACCCTGCGCGCTGAGTCAGAGGTCTTTATGGTTGAAGAGATTGAGGAAGGCTTCCAGGAGGAGGTAGGACTTGGGCCAGTGTTGAAGGGCAGGGTTTAGACTTGGAGGAGGAGAGACCCTGTTCCCCATCAGTTGCTCTTGTCTCTTCCTAGGATTACCATTAACAAGGACACCAAGGTACCCAATGCCTGTTTGTTCACCATCAACAAAGAAGACCACACGCTAGGAAACATCATTAAATCGTAAGTTCCAAGTCAAAGGCTCTTGGGCAGTGTTTAGGGGGCTCTCTGAGGCAGAGCAGAAATTCCAGATTTCCTGGTCTTTCTGAGCTACTGGAAGATCTGGGTGCTTGTTCTGGCAGCTCGCACGTAAACGTGCATTTTCTGCAGGACACTGACCCGTGTCGGTTCACGTAGCCATGTTTCTGTGTTGGCTCATCTAGCTGAGGAAAGGAAGCGAACGCGCAGTGAGCCAGAGGAGAGCAGACCTACTTGTGTTTTGGGGCTGGGCACGGAGCAGCAGTCAGGATTAGTGGCCCCCCACCCCAGCCACCCCGGTTTGTCACGGTGACCTCAGTAACACCTGGCATGCCAAGATAACACGTGCCAGAGACTGTAACGTACAGAGTAAAGGAAAGAGGTGGGAGAGAGGCTGTGGTGATCTGGCGCCCCTGTGGACAGAGCGCGGATATGGGTTGGTGGGTGTTTGTTTACGCCAGTGAGATCCCGGCCAGATGCGATTGCTGTTCTGGCCCAAGGATTTGTTTCACTGATGAAAAGCACTATCGGTGAGGCCGGGTCTTTCCAAGGTTTGAGGTCGTGGGCATGGAGCCTGCCCGGTCTCCCGGCTGAAAGGAGGAGGTGGACTTGGCCGCCTGTCTTCTCTCTGGCCGAGTCCTGCCCTGAGCCGGGTGGTGGTGCTCAGGCCCTCCTGGGGCCTCGCCGCTCCCATGCAAGGCGAGGCACGTCCCCCGGGCTTCAGTTCACTTCGCCACAGCCTTGCAGAACGAGGCCCTCGGTGTGTGGGCAGCAGCTGCCAGCCCGTGTTGCCCAGAGGACTTCGATTTCTCCCCCTGCTGCCTTTACTGCTCTCATCGGGCTGGAAGCTGGGCTTCGTATTTTGTGTTCTGGTTTACTGAATCCTGGCTGCCTAGGGAGGGCTCTTTTGACTTCCCCTGAGGGAAGTTTTCTGGAAATCCTGCTTACCACGTGGGATTCCCACAGATGTGTTTATGAGAGGCTTCCCCATGTGGTCTATCTTCGAAGCGTTTTCTTTCAGGATTTTTTTTGGGGAAATCAAGAGCAGGGAGCCACCTGGGGTCAGCCCCCCGGCTGTATTTGCTTATAGGTTTCAACCCAATGGGAAGATTCCTTGGTTATAGGCCTGGTAATCCCCAGGGGTGCTAGGCTCAGCCTCCCTGCGTCACACTGGCCATCTGTGTGTCCCAGACAGCTGCTGAAGGACCCCCAGGTGCTGTTTGCGGGCTACAAAGTCCCCCACCCCTTGGAGCACAAGATCATCATTCGGGTGCAGACCACACCGGACTACAGCCCCCAGGAGGCCTTCACCAATGCCATCACAGACCTCATCAGTGAGCTCTCGCTGCTGGAAGAGCGATTCCGGGTGAGGAGCCAGCTGTGCAGGGGGGCGGGGATGTTCTCGTGCCCACATCCGGGGCAACCATTGGGGGCAGGTGGTGACAGAGCAGGGATGTGACTATAGTCTCGAGCAAGTGCGGACTAAGGGGTTATGGAGCCTTCTGTCTGCACGCATGGGTGGGACCTTACTGAGGGCTCCAGGCTTTCCTTGGGTGCTCTTGTGGCCCCTTGGGGCTCCTCCCCCAAGTCTTCTCTATGGTGCCGGCTACTCTGGTTTGTAAGGCCTGGCTGCTTCCAGGGCATTTCTGGAGGGGGCAGCTCATCCTGGGGTGGGGGTCCCATAGTTAGGGGGGATGGCCACACCTGTCCCTGCAGGGGGGGGGGGGCTCAAAGTCTAGACCCAAGATAGAGCGGGAAAGATCCACGGCTTGTCAGATTTTAACATCTGTGTCATCTGCACCTTGCACAGATGGGGTGGGGCCGCTGCGGACTGCCCAGCTCCCAGGAGAGGGGCCAGGGTGGCAGTTCCCTGGCAGACCTCTGTCAGGGACCCTGGGGTTGTGTTCCCGGCACCCAGCCCCAGGCCTCTCCGGCTAAGTGCTCTGCTGCCCCTCTCTGCTCAGGTGGCCATCAAAGACAAGCAAGAAGGCATCGAATAGAAAGCTGGAGGGGTCTTGCTTGGCACCTGCACTGGAACCTTCTCCAGGCCTCAAGTAGCTGCTTCTCCAGCTTCAGGGACATCCTGGTGAGCCCCTCCCACCAGAGCCAATGTGTACGTACATAGAGTCTGTTTTACCTTCCAAATAAAAGTGTGGCAGGAAGAGACCTGGATGTGGGCTAAAGCAAGGTGACCACACAGCATGTGGATTGCGAGGCTCCATGGAGGTAGATGACCTCTTGCACGGTTACTCTGGGGCTGTATTTCAGAGTGGAAGACTCAGAGTTTTGTCTGAGAAGGTGGCGCGATCCCTCATTCTAGACCAACAAGTGCAAAGCTGGGGGCGGCCAGGGAGGCAGTGCTTCCAGGAGTCCCTCAGCTGCCAGGTCCGCCTGCCCGTCTCAGACTAGGAACGCCAGACGGGGCCACAAACCGCTCTCCAGTCTTCTCTTAAACAGTAGAGACTTTAATAAAAACATTCGCTGATAAAAAGCTCCCTGTCATTAGCCCCAAAGCTGAATAAGTTAAGTTGTGTCCCTGGTGCTCCGCGACAGGCAGGAGGCGCTGCTCTGGCTACGGTCTCTTCCAGATGGCCACGATATTGGAGTCTGTCAGAGCGGTGAGGTAGGTAAAGGTGGGGTTGGCCACCACTGTGTTCACCATGGTCTTGGTCACCATCTGGCCGAGGGCCCAGGGCTGGGGCCACTTAAGGATCTGGGGGGAAGAGAGGGGGGCTGGGCTCCCGCTTCCTACACAGCAGTCCCGGCGGCAGGAGAGGGACACGCGGTGCCTACCTGCGTCGGGGCCTGTGGAGCTGCCGGCAGTGGAGGCTGCTGGGTCAGGATGTGCCTGACGTCGTAGACCCACACGTTGCCCTCCTCGTCTCCACAGAGCACGATGCCCTCATCTGCCAGGACACACACGTTGAGATTGAAGGTGGGGCAGAGCTCCGGGAGGTGGAGGGCAGGATGGGGTGGCTGGGGGTGGGGGAAGAGGCTCACCAGGACAGGTGCTGAGCGAGAAGTAGGCCAGCTTGGTGGGTGACCACTGCAGCCGAGCCAGGACCACCACCGCTAGTGTGGACTGCTTGCCCCGGCCCACCCATGTCTGGCTCCAGCTCCACAGGCAGATGGTGCCCAGGCTGTTCCCCTTGGAGGCTGCGGGCGAGAACTGGGGTTGGGGGGGGGCCCTCTCCACAAACACTTCTGTTGCGTAGCGGGGACCCCTCAGAAGCCCCTAAACCCCAGCCCAGGGAGGGGCGCCTGAGTGGCTCAGTCGGTTAAGCATCCGACTCTTAATCTCATCCCACGTCACGATCTCGCAGTTGGGGAGTTTGAGCCCCACGTTGGGCTCTGCACTGATGGTGCGGTGCCTGCCTGGGATTCTGTCTCTCCTCTCTGCCCCTCTCCCGCTTGTGCTCTCTCTCAAAATAAAAAAATTTTAAACCAAAAAACCCAGCCCAGGGAGAAGCGACCCACAAAGGCCTTACCGGGGTCTATCCTTGGTTCTCAGGAAGCCAGGCTGTCCCTGAGCAGGGCTCACTCACCCACGACATCCTCATTCACAAACGCCAGCCCGTCCACTCTCCGCCCTGGTGCCTCCGAGCCCTCGGAGAAGACAAACTCCACCTCACACACCCTGCGGGGCAGCAGCAGATACCGGTCAGCTACCCCTGCATGGACAGGAGCCGTGTGCCTCTAGATGTACCCTCTGCCCCAACTAGGAGATGCGACAAGATCTGTCCCGGGCCCTGGAGAGGTTCGGCTTTGCCCTGGAAGGGGAGCCAGCACCTCTGGGGACACAGCCACAGGTGGTGGGAACTCAGGAGCAGGAGGGGCTGGTTCTCCCACCCCATCCTGGGGGGCGGGGCTGGGAATGGTCTGGAGAGGCAGGCAGTTCTGGGCCGGTGCAGGGAGCCAGAGGGTGGTGGGAAGTGACTGCTGCACTTTTCCAAGCTGAGAAGCGTATGGGGTCGACGCTGCTTGGAAAGGCTGCCCGGCAGCTGCACACGGTCCCCGTGCCACCTGGAGCCAGATAGGCAGCTGAGGAGCAGCAGACCCATCTGAGGCGTGGGCCACCATAGGGCTTGGACCCCAGACATGTGGGTGGGCAAAGGGTAGGGGGCAGGCCCAGGGCTTAACCAGGTGTGGCACAGGGCCACCACCAGCACTGGGCCAGACAACTGCTCCAGCCTGTGCTGAAGCTTCTGGGATTTGCCTCCATGTAGCAGCTGCCTCACTCCTGTCACCCACCTCTAAGGTTCTTCCCAGGCCATCGACTGCATTTAGGACAAAATTCACAATCTTACCGGGGCCAACGGCCAGTGGCCCCGGCCCGAGCAACCTCACCACCTCCTGTGCCATCTCCTCCAGCTTCCCAAGCTGGGCCAGACCTCCCAGGTCAGGCAGCTGTCCCCACCCTGTGCACAGGCTGCTGCCTCTGTGTGAGCACCTCCCCCCTCTGCCTGACTCCCTGCTAGGCTCACATGGTACCTTAGTCTTCCTTTGCACCTGACCTCACACCTTGGGGGTAACAGGCCATCTTTGTTAATGCCTGTCTCTGCTACAAGGCTGTGAGCCCCGCAAGGGCAGGGATGCTATGCTGAGCTCAGTCTCTGGCCTACCAGGTGGTACAGATGAGCCCCGCGCCTCCCCATTGCCCTCAAAGGTGAGGTGATCACAGCTCTGAGAAGTGACCCGGCCCGGTCCCCCTCCCCCCCACTGAACACCAGGGAAGGAATGGGTCACGAGGCTTTCCTCGAGAGACTGGCAGGAGGTGGGGACAGACCAGACTTGGGAAGAGGACCCTGAAAACAGCCTCTGGCTGCCCAGAACAGGGCACAGCTTGGGCACCACCCCCGGCAGTCCCACTCAGGGTCAGACATCTGGACTGGCCGCGGCCAGGCTTTCGAGGCCTCCCGGGCCGGCCTCACCTCCTCTTCTGAGGCTGGTCCAGCCGCACGTCCCAGCAGCAGCAGCCACCCTCGCAGCCAGCCAGCAGGTAGGCCTCCGGGCAGGACGCCACAGGGCAGAGGCGCAGCGGGATGGAGGCAGCATCGAGTGTGAGCAGCTGGCTGCCGGCAGGTGGGGAAGAGTGTGAGGCCGCGGCCCTGTGTTGGCGCCCCGCCCCCGCGCCCCGCCCCTCAGCATCATCACCTGGCCTGGAATTCATAATCGTGGTTGGGCACCCCGATGTCCCAGAGGATGATCCGCTTGTCATAGGAGGCCGCTGGGCAGGGGATGGGAAGGGGAGAGGCGGCTCTGAGGAGGCCCTGCTCCCTCCCGTGGACTCCATTCCAGGCTGAGGCCGTGGTCACAAGGCCAGCCCGAGGCAGGCCGGGCCACAGCTGGGCCACGGAGGGCTCGAGTGCCTATGCTGCCTACCTCGCCCTAATCTAACGTGCCCCACGGCAGGCAGCCATCTTCTTAGGCCTCTGCTCACACATCACCCTTGTCTGGCTTACCACTCTTGGGGGGCAGGGGTGTCCACCCAGGTCACAGAGCAGCCCAGGCTGTGGGAAAGCTTCAAGGCCATGGAGCAGCTGGGGGCAAAGCCAGGATCTGACACCCTGTCAGTCGTCCACAAAGCCACGCTGTTTCTACTACTGCCAGAGCAGAGCGTGGCGCCAGCCATGAAGCCCGCCAGCAGCAGGAGCTCCCTACCGTGCTGGGGAGGGCGCACTGAGGCGTCTGGGTGCTGGGGACACCTCAGGGGTGTGGGAGAGGGTCTTACTGAAGAGGTGGGTCTCGTGGGTGGGGCTGAAGCAGAGGGTGGCGATGGCCTTCTTGTGGGCCCGGATGACTCCGCAGCAGAAGCCAGCACGCACGTGCAGCAGCCGGACCAGGCCCCGCAGGCCTGCAGCCGCCAGCACACTCCAGCGCTTCTTGTGGCCTGCCTGCGTGACCACTGTCAGGGCTGTCCAGGCCACCGAGAAGAACTCCTGGGGGAGAGGAGGGAGAGGGCGTCACTAAGGGGCAGGGCTACGTGCGCACGGTGCCTGCTAGGTCAGGCCTGCGGCACTGAAGCCCGGCAGAACAGAGTCACCTAGCGAGCGGGTGGCTGAGCCTGGGCTCCCAACCCCGGCACTCTGCCCACAGTCCCGCACAAGCAGGGCCCCGGCACTCACCTCGCCAGGCGCCTTGTACTTGTGCAGTACGATGCCCGTCTGACAGTCTATCACACACACGGCCTCCCCGCCACACGTGGCCACGGTCTGTGATGTGGCCCCTGCCTGCCCTGTTGTGAGGGGTCAGCCTAAGTAAAAGCGTTTCCTGTGAGGTTTGCCCCAGCAGCTCCTTCCTGGCCTTGACGACACTTCATGAGCTGTCTCTCGCAGGTCCCCCATCCACCGAGGCGGCCCCCTGACCAGAAAGCTTGTTCCTGCTCGTTCCCTTGGCTGTCACCCTGGCCCTGCCTGCCCCACAAGGATGTACCCTCCTCCCAGGCCGGCTCGAAGGCGCAGGCCCAGAGCTGGGTCTCCAGGTCCCGAGGGCTGTTGTTCTTGCTGTGACACTGCAGAAAGTGCAGGGGCTCCAGGTCCAGGGCAGGCTGTGGGGGCAGAGGTGGGGTTCACAGCTGCCCCAGCCCTCACTCCCTGCCAGCTGCCCAGCTGCTTCCTGGCCCCTGCGAGCTTACCTGGCTGCCATCGGAGCCCATGGGGCTGCCTTCCACATGGGCCGGTGGGGAGGGGCATCCCCGCTTGCTGGGAGACAAGCTGAGTGAGACGTCACCCGATCGTTTCAAGGCCATCGGTCTGGCCTGTGGAGGGGGTCAAGGCTGGGCTGAGAAGAGCCTGGTGACCATGGGCCCATCTGCCCAGGGCTTCCTTCCTCTGCATCTCTCCCCCATGGGTGTAGAAAGCCAGGGTTGGCCCAAGGTCAGCTTGAACTCGCCCAGGCATCAGAGGCCATCTCCTGGGCTCATTTCCAGGACCCCTCCCCTTCCCTCCTCTAGTCTCCCTAGGCGGGAAAGGCCAAGACAGGCCTGTGGAGCCTTGAGAGCTGCATGATACACCTACCCTGGGCTCCTGGGCGGCTGTGGCTTTTGAAGGCCTCTCCGGGATGCCGGTCTCATGCACCTGGGTCCCACCAGAGGCCACCAGCGCCTCAGAAATCATCTGCACCTATGTGGGGCCAGGACATCAGGAAACTGGGTACATGCAGTCCTAGGGGCCCCCAGCCCCTCCCCAACTGCTGGGACAAACAGCCTGTGCTTCCCATGCAACCATTAAGTCAGCCTTCCCTGACCCATGCCACTCTCCCATAAATCCTTATGGCCAGAGGCTTCCAGGGCAGCTGAAGGCATGGGAGCCATAGAGGATCTGGGAGAACCAACTCCCAGCACAGCAGGGTGAGGCCATACCCGCCACTGGGTGAACTCGCTGAGGGACTCAGGCCCATAGCGGACGTTCCTGACTGCGGACTTCACAAAGTCAGCCTGGGCCTTCTCTGCCTCCTCCTCTGGGCTCCGTGTGGCCATGAACTTCTCCCAGTGAGCGGTGACCTGCCACCAGAGGGACCAGATTCAAGCCCAGCCCACCCCAGATCTCCTGGACCCTCTGTGGAACCTCTGCATCCAATCTTCTGGCCCCAATTGTCTCCACCTCACTGTCTCCTGGAAGTCTCCCTGAACCACAGCCTTCTTAGCTACAGCATACACAGTCCTAAACAACCCACACGTGAGCAACAGCCCCAAGGAGAAGCGGGCCCAGAGTAAGGTTACTTGAAAGTGTCTTAGCCTCCCTGGCCGGGCCCCGCTCCCACACCTGGAGAGCCAGACCTCTCAGGACGAGAGACCAAGCACCACAGCCAGGCTCAGAGCAACATGTCAGGCTAGGACATAAAGGCCACTGAGTATCAGGGCAGAGCCACTCAGTATCAGGGCAGAGCACTCCCGTGACCCTCACTCGGGGTTCCCCCAGTGTTGCTCATTCCTCAAGGTCTCCAAGCGTTTCCAAACACCAGAGAAGCCTGCTGGCTCCCTTACCCTGCTGGTCAGCTCCCGGTTTAGGTTCTCCACCTGAGAGGAAGTGGAGGAAGCATCCTTGCCATTGACCTTACGGAGCTTGGGCAGGAGAAAGGAGACTTTCAGGTTGTCACTGACCTGGGGGATGAGGGAGAGTGGCTCAGTGTCCACCTGTGGCTCAGCCCAAGCGTGCCGGCCCTGGGTACGGGGCAGGTGGGGGACGGGGTACCCTACTTACAGTCAGGAAGGGGTTGCCTTCCAGGCTCAGCTCCTCAAGCTGCGGGAATTGACACAAGGCAGTGACGTCTCCCAGCTGGTTGTTGGCGCAGCGGAGGATGCGCAGGTGGGACAAGCCCAGATTGGCGGGCAGCGTCTCCAGCTGGTTGTTGGAAAGGTCCAGCTCTTGCAGCTGCGTCAAGCGGCTCAGGAGCTTGGGGTCCAAGTGCTCCGAGAGCAGCTTCAGGCCAGACAAGCTGGGTGGGGGCAGACAGGGAGGGCTGAGGGGGGGAGGGGAGGGGAGGAGCGCCCCCCCCCCAGGACAGTCCAGGGTGCCTCCAAAGCCTTTTCCAGCAGAGGATCACCTTCGTGCACAGCTTTTCCTTCTTAAAATCTAGTAACTACTTTACAACTGAGTACAGCTGGCACCTCCAGAACGCTTTCCCTCATCCTCTATGGGAACTCCTCTGTGCTGCCCTGGGCCTCGGGAATTAGCTCAACAAGTTGCTCAATACCCTTTCTGCAGGACTGTCTCCCCCTAAGCCCGGGCCCCCTTCAGGGAAAAGGCCACTCAGGGCCCAGCCGGCCCCTCTCATAACGGCAGCCCTGAGTTTGGCCCCAGTGATCAGCCTCCGCCTAACCGACAAGGCGATAACGGGGCCAGGGAGGGAGTGGGCATGGGTCGCAGACTTTCTTCACTCCCAGCGGGCGACGCAGGCCCGGGTGGCGGGCTGTGTGTCCCCCGCCCACCCCCCCACCCCCCCGGCCCGGCGGACCCCCGTCGCCCCCGGCCCGCCTCTTACTCCAAGCTCCGGATTTTCCCCAGCCGGTCGCTCTTGGGACGCCCCCGCTGCATGAGCAGCCGCGCCGAGAGGGGGCCCATGGCGAGGAGACGCGACCCGCGCTGGCCGGTCGGCGGCACCGGCGTCCGGCCGAGTCCGTGCCTCCTGGAGACCGAAGTTAACGTCCACGGCTGGCGGAGCTCTGGAGGCGGCGCCGCGCGAGCCCGTCGGGGGCGACGACCGGAAGGAAGCGGCCCGGCGGACCTCGTGCCCCGCGGGCTGACTACGACTCCCAGCGGCCCCCGCGGCCCCGCGCCTGCGCTTTCGCCGCCAGGACGCGGCGATGGCGGCTGCGGCGGTGGCGGCCCCCGAAGTCCTCCGGGAATGCGGCTGCAAGGGCATCCGGACCTGTCTGATCTGCGAGCGGCAGCGCGGAGGTGACCCGCCCTGGCAGCACCCCCCGCAGGTGAGGGTTGGGGAGGGGCCGTGCCATAACTCCCTTCTTCAGATAGGGAAACTGAGGCCCAAACTGGCTACGAAGATGGGCCCCGGTTCAACCCGTGTCAGAGACCCTCGCCGTGGGGGCGTTGCAGGATCAGATGAGTGCTTTGAGGGGGGTTTGGATTGGAAGGGGCTGGAGTGGGTGCCATCTGACTGCAACTCCCCTCTGAGCCCTGGGGGTGGGGGGTAGTGTGACAGCGGACCTCCACGTAACCCCCGTGGGGCCAGGAGCTTCACGGAGTGGGGAGACGAACCGGAAAGAGGAAAGGATGCCGAAAACCAGGCCAGGCGAAGGTCCTAGAAACCGTTGGGCAGAAGTGGGCAAGGAGGAAATTAATTCCAGTTAATTAATGAAAAAGTACTTAGAACCTTTGAGGTGGGCGAGGACATTTCCACTGGGGGAGCTGCTTAGATAAAGGCCTGGGGTAGGTGCGTGTGTTTGGAAGGAGGGTGATGCTTGGGGGGGTGGTCAGTGGGGCCTGATCACAGAGGGCTCTGTGTGTGGCTGCTGGATAGCCTGGATTTGTCCTGAGGGCCATGGAGAGCTGCTGAGGGTTTTAAAGGAAGTTAACACGTGAGTTTTAGAAAGATCCTGGGAGGGGGAGGGGAGGATAGGAAAGTATGGAGCCTGGGAAGCCAAGGAAGAAACTGTCACAGTGTCCCTGGCAAAAGCTTGGAAGGGTCAGTGGGAAACAGTATGGTGATTCCTCAGTAAATTAAGAGTAGAATTACTGTATGATCCAGCAATTCTGGGTATACACCCAAAAGAATTGAAAGCAGACACTTGAAGAGAGATTTGTACACCCACCTTCACAGCAGCCTCATTCCCAGTAGCTAAAAAGTGGAAGCGATGTAAGCATCCATCAGTGGATGAGTGGATAAACAAAATGTGACACAATATGTACAGAATATTACGCACCTTAAAAGGGAAGGGCATTCTGACATCTACGACATGAATGAATCCTGAGGTCATTATACTGACTGAAATGTCAGTCACAAAAGGGTAAATGTTGTAGGATTCCACTTATATGAGGTTCAGAGAGTAATCAGATTCTTAGAGTCAGAAAGTAGAATGATGGGTGCCTGGGCCTGGGGGAAAAGAAGGAGTTGTGGTTTAATGGGTACAGAGGTTTGCTTTTACGTGATGAAAAAATGCTGGAGATGGGTGCACAACGTGAAGGTTTGGTGGTGAAGGCGGTGAATACGTTATATATATACGTATATACTTACATGTGTACATATATGTACATATGCGTGTGTACATATATATACTTTTTTTTTCTTACCGCAATTAAAGCGTGAAAAGTGCCAAAAGTCTGAACTTTGCCTGTGACCATGGGTGTGGAGACACAGGGCACTGTGGGGTAGCACCTGCTCAACTTGATGTCTGTGGGATGAGCAGAAGGTCCAGGATGGCTCCCTAACTGTAACATGTCCGTGTGAAGTGCTAGAAGACAGAGGACAATGGGGTGGGTAGCAACGGCCATGAAATGCAAAAGGGGAGGGAGCAGAATTAATTGGGCAGGGAGGGCTTCGTGCTGCCACACCACTGGAACAAAGTCATGGCCAACCCAGTTGGGAGCTCCGGAGCAGACTGACTGGTAGAGGAGTCCCATGTTGGGTATGAAAAGCCAGACCTGCGCTGAGTCATTGGCCGGGGGCTGCCTGGGACCCGGATGGTCTCTGGCCGAAACCTGGGGCAGATTCTGAAGGCACTGCAGCAGGAGGGGGTCAGCCGGGCACTCCTCCAGGATGACTGGCAAGTTCTCTCCTTCGAAGGGAGATCGAGGCAGTGCCTGGGCAACCACAGAGGAGGGCCGGGCCCGGAGTCCTCCCCACCTCTCCCTCTAGCTGTCCAACGTGCTCGCCCTCTGAACAGCTCCGGAGTCCTTTCCTTTAGACGCTGGGGAGGGCAGGAGACACCCCACAGTGACGCTAGAACAGTGTGAACTCGCGGGCAGCCTTGGGCTGTGTAGCCTTCAGCCGGTTCCTTAACTTCATTCGTCCTGGGTCACCCCACCTTTAAAACAGAACAGAAAATGGTTACATGGATGCTCTTCCCACCTACAGCTGAGGAATGTGACAAAGGAGAGGGCCCCAGGCAGGGCTTCTGCATCACTGCCTCTCTCAGCCTAGTCTGGACTCCAGCTGCTTCCCAAAGTGGCACCAGGGGAGGGAGAAGCTCTCGGCAGGGGCTGCTCCTAAGAAGGGGCCTCCGGAAGGTGCACACACAGTGTGAGGAAGGGCTTCGGCGGCTCCAGGTCCCTCGTCTTTCTTTTGCAGAAAACACACCGCTTCATTTACTACTCTGACACTGGCTGGGCCGTGGGGGCTGAGGAGTCTGACTTTGAAGGCTGGGCCTTCCCGTTCCCTGGTGTGACGCTGATAGAGGACTTCGTGACCCGGGAGGAAGAAGCTGAGATGGTACAGCTGATGGACCGGGAGCCTTGGAAGCTCTCCCAGTCTGGACGGAGGAAGCAGGTAGGACGGCCCAGAGCCGGGGACTCCAGGAGGGCCAGGCTGGCTGGTCAGAGAGGAGTCACCCTGCTGGGCCCCTGCACACTCCTTGCCCCGTGCCTTGCTCACCTCCCTCCCAGCGCCTCTCTCGGCAGCCACAACCCATGACACCCCCTCACCAGGGCCGCTAGGGGGCGAGCTCCTCTGACCTTGGGGCTCTGGCAGCTGGGGCGTGGGTGTGCTGGAGGGAGGGGCGGAGGGAGGGGCGGAGGAGGGCCCAGCTTGCTCCGCTTCCCCAGACGCACCAGACTCGGTGAGGCGGGGCCGTAAGGCAGACTGGTGCCCAGCTCAGAGGGTTTCTGGAAGGCTGCCGCTCGCCTTCCCACCGAAGTCCTCTCCCCATCCGTTTCGAGATACTTGGGCCTCCGAGTCCTGGGCCTCCTCTTTGTCAGGAATGACAGCCCCTCTTTTCTGCAGCCTTGTCGGCCAGGACCTGAGAGCCATCCATCGGCCGCCTGCTCTCCTTCCCTCCCCCTCCTGTGGGCTTTTCCGTCCCCACTTCGGTGCCTGGCCAGTTATCACGCCACTTCCTCTGCTGCTCCTGTGCCCTTTCGTCCCTCGCTATCCTCCTTCCGCTAAACCACAGCCCCCGTCAAGTCTGGCTCCTCTCGCTGGGCGCCTCCCAGTCCTGGCTCTCCAATCCTGAGCTGGGCCGTCCTGCTCTGGAGGTCATGCCAACCTCCCCCAAGGTGGCCCTTTTGCGGCTCTCCTTGCAAACCTTCCCTTCCCCCCCCGCCGGCTCTCCGCCGAGCCCCCTCTGACTCAGAAGATGCTGGCGGGTGTTGCTCCCCTCTCTCTCCGACATTAGTTTTGCCTCAACTGGGTCTTTTCCACCAGACTGCCAGTAAGCTCTAGCTCTCTCTGCGGCCCGATTCCTCAGAAGAGTTGTTTATTCCGTCTCCTGCTCCTCTCCTCCTGTTCCACTTACTGTACTCAGCACTTCCATCCCGGCCTCTGCGCCCTAAACCCTGGGGCCGACTTTCAGGCTCAGTCCTGGGGCCTCTTCTCTTCCAGACGCCCCCTTGCCAGGCTTCATGAGTCACGGCTCTGACATGAGTGTGTGTTTACAACTCCCACGTTCGTGTCTCTGGCCGGCTTCTCCTATTTGTCAGACCTGAACTGAGCTTTGAGTCTTCATCCCCACCCCCGTGCCCCCCTGTAGTGTCCCCACCTTGGCAAATTCCAGCTTCCATCTGCTCAGGCTGGCAACCGTGGAGCTTTCCAGATTCCTCGCTGTGTCTCATTGGTAATCCCCATCAGCTCTCTTCCTTCAGACATACTCGGGATCTGAGAACACAGCACCCCTACCACTGCCACCCCTTTAGGTCCCAGCCCCCAGATCTGTCACTGGGATTCCCACAGGAGCTTCCCTTACCCCTCTTCTGTCACTTTCCACTGGAGAGGAAGGTGACCCCCATTGATGGCCCCTCAGATGGACTCACTGCTCTGCTACAAATCCACCAGGCCTTCCACCCCAGCCTGGGCTTCCCCTGCTGCTTGGTGCTCCTGGGATGTCCCCACAGCAGCCTGCTCGGTACTCCTGAGATGCTCCAGCATCAAGCCCTCCCTTCTAGCCTGCCACCGCCTGGAGGACCCAGCCACTCGGTCGTGCCAAAGCCGGCAGGAGAAAGATGTTTCCACCAGACATTGCCCCCCTCCACTAGAGGGGGACTGCAGGGGCCAGGATATGCTCATCCCTTGGGCCACAGGTCTGAGGTGTATTCTAGAAGCTTCCTCCCTAACACTTGTTTTGGGGTTATTTTTTTTAGATAGAACCCACACACTGTAAAATCTGCCCATTTAACACGTACGGTTTGTTTTGGTATATTCATAATGTCACACAGCCATCTCCACTGCCTTACTTCTGGAACGTGCCCATCACCCCAGAGGCAACCTGTACCCATTAGCAGTCACTCCCCGTTCCCCTGTACCCTGGCAACCACTAATCTACTTTCTTTCTGGATTTGCCTGTTCTGGATATTTCATGCAAATGGGATTGTATCACATGTGGCCTTTTATGTCGGCTCCTCTCACTGACCAAAACGTCGGCCTGTGTCGGTGCTACGCTGTTTGCAGCTGGACA